GAAACCCTGTTTCAAAAATGCAATGGTGGGCGGGGGAGGGAAATCAGGAGGAAAAAAGGAAGGGGTAACAATGTTGGACAAGAAATGTACTCATTACATGTGCACTGTAACCCCTCTGTACCTCACCTTTCCAAAAAAAAGTTCAATTAAATTTTTTAAACAAATGTAATGGGGAGCACTTGCTTAACATGGACATGGTCCTTCCTTTATTCCCAGTAATGAAAAACAAAAACGAAACAAAAAATGATGAGGGACGGATGAGAGGAAGGAAAGAGGGGGGCAGGGAGGGTCCCCACAGTCAGAGAATTATGCCAACTGATGCAGGATTCTGGCACCCTTTATTACAGCCCCACCTCACTTCCTGTTTGCCTCCTTTGTGAAGACAGCACCTCCCAGGGCCTACTTCAGCTCTAGTCCCCAATGGGCAGTCCTGAGGGAACTTCCCCTAGGAACCTAGGAGGCAATACGTTTCCTGGGCTCTTCCCGGCTACCCTGTTCCTCACTCCGTGCCTGTCTGTCCTTTGCCTGGGTCACCTTCACAAGCCAGTCTGGCCCCACTCAGGAAGGACAGAGGAAACGTGCTGGAGCAGAGGTTAAGGCTCAGACTTCCTGCTTCTGCCTGGCCACCCTTTCCACTCAGGGAAGGAGAGCTCCCCCTGCCGCCCCAGCCCCCTACGACTCAGCTGGGAGCTCTCTGGACACCCAGCTTGTCGGTGAGCTTCACTTGTAAACAGGGCGTCTGTCTGGAGGAGGAGACTGGAGACTGGCAGGGTTGATGGCAGGGCTGGCAGCTAGCCCAGGCAGGGCAGGGCAGGGCTGAGCACAGCTGCAGTCCCTGCCTTGTGCATTGCACACACCCCCCACTTCCTGTTCCCACTGGCCGTCTCCCTCTGGGTGCAGACTGGTGGGGCCCTGGCTGTCTTCAGAGGAGCTTTTTTTTTTTTTTTTGTGGGTCATGCGGCTTGAACTCAGGGTCAAGGCTTAGGCGCTGTCCCTCAGCTCTTCAGATCAAGAATGCTCTACTACTTGAGCCACAGTGCCACTTCTGGCTTTCTAATGCTTTGTCAGAGATAAGAGTCTCACGGGGGCTGGGAAGGTGGCTCAGTGGTAGAGCGCTTGCCTTGCATGCATGAGGCTCTGGGTTCGATTCCTCAGCACCACATATGCAAAAAGAAAAAAGCCAGAAGTGGCACTGTAGCTCAAGTGGTAGAGTGCTAGCCTTGAGCTGAAGAGCTGAAGGACAGCGCCCAGGCCCCGAGTTCAGGCCCCACGACTGGACCCAAAAAAAAAAAAAAAAAAAAAGAGTCTCACGGACTTTCCTGCCCCAGCTGGCTTTGAACCTTGATCCTTAGATCTCAGCCTCCTGAGTGTAAGGTCTGCACTGGGACACCTCCCTCCCTTTTGGCTGTTTCCACCTAGTATCTGTTACCTAGGTAACTGGCAGACCTGGGAGCAGTCACCTTGCCCTCCTGCGAGGTCACATCCTTGGCCACCTCGGGTCTAATACCTCCCCTCTGACCCTAGGAGGGTCTCAGACCCCTCCAGATCCAGTGTGGCCACACCTTTCCCCCACCTGGCCACACCTCTTCCTGTCCTTGGCCTAGATAAGTCCTGGCCCAGAGTTGGGTCACCTCTCTTCCTCCCCCTTCCCCTTACCTTTTCAGCCATGCTTCTCCACCATGCATGGCAGGGGCAGCAGTTCGGTAAATAAACTTCTTTTCTTGCCTGAATAGTGCATGGTGTTCTTATCTGCTACCTAATGAAACTACCTATTTAATAGACCTTACACTGAGTAGCTAGGATTACAGGCGTGAGCCACGGGCGCCCGGCTCTCAGAGGAGCCTTTTTACTCATCACAGATGTATTGCTTAGCCCATCTATAGGGTCCCTAATCTGTTTGTTGGGGGTGGGGGAGAATTTGTACATGCAAGCTTACCTGAGGCCCGCACATGACACGAGTGAGCAAGAATGTGGGCATCCAGAACCCATCTGTGTGTACACCAGACCCTCTGAGCAATCACAAGATAGCTCCCGCCCAGCGTGTGTGTGTATGTGTGTGTGTGTGTGTGTGTGTGTGTGTGTGTGTGTGTGTTGGGGGGAGTGCTGGAGCTTGAACTCAGGGTATCATGCTTTCACCTGGCTTTTTCTTTTCTTTCTTTCTTTTTTTGCTGGTCCTCCGGCTTGAAATTGGGCCTGAGCTCTGTCTTTGAGCTTCTTTTGCTCAAAGCTAGTGCGCACTTAAGCCATAGCACCACGACTGGATCACGACTGGCTTTTTCCAACTATTAGAGATAAGTGTCCCACAGAGTTTGCTGCCTGGGCTAGATTCAAACCACTATCCTCAGATCTCAGCCTCTTAAGTAGCTAGGATTACAAGTGTGAGTCTGTCACTCTTCTGAGCACTGTGGATGTCAGGCCAGGTTGTTCTCTAGGTGTATCCTGAGCACTGCAAGATGCTAGCTGCATCCCTGGCCTCAACTCCACTCCAGGCAGGAGTTCCCCAGGTGTGACAGCCAGCCACAAATGTTCCCAGATGTGCACGAACATCTGTTCGAGGGCACATCCCTCCTCTAGAGAGACCTCCCTTCCCCATGGAAGAAAGGAGGGAATCAAAAGGGTAGGCGCCAGCCTGCCCTTATGGATAGAAAGGTAGAGCACCAGCCTGGAGAAAAACAAAAAACTAGGGGCAGTGTCCATACCTTGAGTTCAAGCCTCAGAAATGGCACTCACACACACACACACACACACACACACACACACACACACACACACACACACACACACACAGGTCTTTGCAGATGTAATTAGATAAGATAAAGCACATGTAGGTATTTTTAGAAATGAGTCTTGAGTTTGATATGGTGGTACACACCTGTGATTCTAGCTACTCAAGAGTCCTCAGAAGAAACCCTGTCTCAAAAACAAAATACAAATAAAAGGACTAAAGCATGGCTTAAATGATAGAACACTTGCCTAGCATGCACGAGGCTTCTGGCTTGATCCCCAGTAGAGGAGAGGGGAAGGCCAGGGGGAGAGCTGAAACCTGAAGGACTCACTCTATTCAGGGTGGTGCTGATGCAATGGCAGCATCTTCATACCTAAAGAGAAATTTACACATAGAGACACTAGGAGACAGCTGTGAGGCAGAGCCACAAGACAAACAATGTCTGGAGCTCTCAAATGTTTGGAGAGGCAGGAAAGACCATTCCTGGCGCTTAAGAGGAAGCCTGGCCTCAAACCTGGCTCTTGGACTTAGGGTTACAGAGAATCACAGAACAAATTCCTTTTGTTTAAAGCATCCAGCGCATGGCCTCTTGTTATAAGAGCCCCTAGAGGGGCTGGGAAGGTGGCTCAGTGGTAGAGCGCTTGCTCTGCACCACATAAGCAAAAAGAAAAAAGCCGGAAGTGGCGCTGTGGCTCCAGTGGTAGAGTGCTAGCCTTGAGCTGAAGAGCTGAGGGACAGCACCCAGGCCCAGAGTTCAGGCCCCACGACCAGACCCCCCCCAAAAAAAAATAAGAGCCCCTAGAAACCATACATATAATCCTGAATGCTCACATTGGCACATACCTTTGCAAATCATGTTCAATCAGCACCTCTGTGTACCAGGTATTGGATACACATAGGGGACAGACCTGTGCTCTTGAAGAACTGGTGTGTAGCCATCCTCAATACACAGAAGCACACGCGTGGCATATGATAACAAAGCCTGACCCCTGCATGCAGATAACACATACCAAAAGGCAGCCAAGATGGAAGCAAGGGTGGGAGGGGGATGGGGAGGAGAGGAGAGCAGTGGGGCCTCTTCTGAGCAGGCAGGTTTAACAGCCCTACCCAGGACACACACACACACACACACACACACACACACACAATCCTTCCCCAACCCCCTCTATTGCCAAGAACACTAACAACTGAGGGGAGGGGCTGGCTGGCTGGGGAATTCCCTGAAGCCTCCTCCACAGGAGGGGGAGGGGGTCAGCCTGCAGGACAAGTGGGCAGCTCAGGGCTTGATTGGGCCACGGGAAGAATGAATAGTGTAAAGCTTCTAGGAGACAAGCTGGTGTGGTGGGGGAAAATCCTTTAGGCCCACCTCAGGACCTCAGGAGTGAGCAACAGGACTCGGAGGGAGCTGTAGGCACCAAAGGTTCTGCTTTTTTGCTCAAAGTTGGTGCTCTCCCACTTGAACTACAACTCCACTTTCTGCTTTTTCTTGTGGTTAATTGCAGATAAGAGTTTTATGGGTATTCCTGCCAGGGCTGGCTTCAATGGATCCTCAGATCTTAGCCTCCTGAGTAGCTAGGATTACAGGCGTAAGCAAACGTAGTACTTGGCTTCTAGCTGAATTGGAATGGTTTTTTAACCTCCTTTCCAAGCTATGCACACACCAGGGGCTTCTATCCAGTCAGTAGGGGATCCTGGTTTCCCCTGAAACGAAGTTCCAGGACTGAGGAAGCCTCCTCCAGTCTCTGTCCTCTCTTCTGGTCACTACCAACAAGGGAGTAAATTCTTGGGGAGCTTCCTGGAGGCATTCCTGTTCCCTAGGCAAGAGGCAGGATGTAGGCCGTGGTGTCCTCATCCTGCATTAAAAAGGAGGGAGGAAATGGGTCTCAAAACGTTCTGAGGTGCATGGTCTAAGGGCATCAGTATCTTAGGCCGCAGGAGTCAGGCTAGGGGGTCTTGTCCTGCAAGGACTCGTGGTCATAGTTCCGCAGATCCCCGAGCCTCGGGAAGCCCCAAGAACCCGCCCAAGCCCGCCCACACCTCCCGCCGGATGGATACTAGAAATGGGTAGCCGGAGCCCCGTATGCCCTACTGCGCAGGCGCAAGACGGTCTTCCCGGACCCAGAACGCGCAGCCTCACACTGCGTCCCGAGCGCCCCTCAGGCTCCGCCTCCTGCCGCTCATAGGGGGCGTGGCCAGGGCCGGGGCTGCGTCGGGGGGCGGGGCGAAGCCAGGGCCGGGTCTATAAAAACGGCGGCAGCGGCGACGCGCCCGGCTCCTCTCGGCGGCGGCAGCAGTAGCCCTGGCAGAGGAGTCCGCGGAGGTGGCGGCGGTGGCGGCGCTGTTCCCCGCGCGGTCCGCGGAGCGGGGTCCGGGCTGTGCGACGTCGGGCGGAGGCGGCATTGCGGCCCCGGCCCGAGCCCGATCTCGGTGAGCTCTCCTCCCCCGGGGCTCCCCCCTCCCCCCCTCCCGGCGCCGACCCCGGGCTGTGTGTGGAGAGCGGGCCCCACCGGAACCCTCGCCGCCTGCTCGGGGCCGCGCTCCCCGCAGGCTAGCCGCCGCCGCTCACCGCCCTCTCTCTTTGTCTGGTCTGCCCCAAGGGTCGCCTCCCCGGCCGCCCCCCGCCCCCGGGCCGCCCCCCGGGCCCTGCGTCCCCTCCCCCGCTGGCGGGGCCCGGACAGAAGATGGTGCAGAAGAAAACAGCCGAACTTCAGGGCTTCCACCGTTCGTTCAAGGTGAGGGCCTGTCTGTGTTGAAGGGCTGCTGCGGGACTGGACCACCAAAGTGGCCCGTGTGGGGGGACCAGAGCCCGTCCCAGAGGAGGCTCGTGTAGCCCGCCTCCTCCCCCCTCCCCTCCCCCGCCCGCCTGTTCCTGGGACTGTCCCAGCCGGGTGTGCGCTGAGAGGGAGGGGTCAGAAAGCCGCAGCCCTGTCTCCAGCTCTGGCCTGTGAAATCTCCAGGAACCCCAGTCGGGCCTCGGAGCCCCCCCCCCCTTCTGCCAGGAGCTGTGTAGCTCCTCTACATGCCCCAGCCATGTGTGTGCTGGTGTAAGGGGGGCGGGGGGAGGGGGGTCTCACTAGGCCACAGTCCAATCTCCTGTGCTCTGTGTGATTCCCTCCTCCAGCAATGTCTGGGGAGGCCCTCGTTTCCCTGCAAGCCCCAGCTGGTTGTGCCCTGTTTGGGGAGGGATCAACAGGCCCCAGCCCTGTCCGCCCCTTTGGCTTGTGGGGACTTACTTTCAGGAATCCTTGGCGAGGTTGGTCCCCTGACTCTCACCCCCTGGTGGCCTGGGGAGTGATTGAATGCCCCTCCCCAGATACCTCAGGCCCAAAGTGCTATTTCCTGTCTGAGTGGGAAGTTTCTGCAGAGGCTTGTGACTGCTGATTCCTGGTCTCAGATGAGTGAATCTTGGGGCGGTGAAAACGGCAGGTGCTTGGGCTTAAAGCCCCCGCGGGGCCTGGCCCTGGGGACGCAGTGATGTCAGCTTGACTGCCCCACCCGACAGGCTGGGTTATGTAATGGCTTCCCTGGGCTTCCTTGGGGGCAGGGACCTGTTGCCCTCTTACAGAGAAGGCAGGACTTGTGTGTATGTATGAGAGTGTGTGTGTATGTGTGTGTGTAGTGTACACATTCACCCACATCAGTGTGGGAGAAGTGTGTAGTGCCTAGAGAAGAATTCCCAGGCCTGTCCAGCCAGTGTCTCCAGCCAGTTGCCCCACCCCTTCTCTACATGCCTGTCATCCCTGTTTCTCCTAGGGTAGCCATGCCTTGGCCAGCAGCATGTAGGGGCTGGGGCTTAAGAGGGGTGGATCTGAGAGGTCACTTACAGTGGTCTTTCTTGGAGCTGGGTGGAAGCTAAGACAGGGTCAGTGTATAGGGCCAGCATGGGGCCAGTGAGATAGCCAAAGCAAACCCGAGTTTTCTGGATGGTTCCAGCCACCTCCTGCCAGGGCCTGCTGACTCAAGGCCCACAGCCAGACCCAGGGCAGGCTGGGACTAGGCTACCCACACTGTTTCGGATTGACTGCAGGCTGGCCTCGGCATGGCCTACGCATAGCTGTGTCTGGACAGTGGGAATGCATCAGGGAGGCAAGAGGGGGAATGGACAGAGGTCCTGGCCAGGAGACTGCCCTCCAGGTGGCTAGGGGCCCATCATTCAAGGACTCTCCTCCCAGGATTCCCCCAACCATCCCCCCCCACACACACATGGCTGTTTTCTTGGAACAGACTGCAACATAGCAGAGAATCACATTTGCCAGGTCTCCTGGGTTTATTTTCCATTTATTTAATTGTTATTTTGGTTTGGGGGGATGAAACCCAGAACCTCAAACACACTAAGTGCTAGATGAATGCTCTGCTACCAATCCATACCCTATTTTGTGTTTGTGGGTGTGTATATCTCTGTGTGTATATACACACATGTGCATGCATGCACCAGTACTAGAGCTTGAATGCAGGGCCTCATGCTCTTGCTTGCTTTTTGCATTCAGAGCTGGCACTCTGCCACTTGACCCATGCCTCTCTTAAGCTTCCTAATTTTTTTTGTCAGTTTTGGAGCTTGAACTCAGGGTCTGGAGGCTGTCTCTGAGACTGCTTGTGCTCAAAGATAGCACTCTACCACTTGAACCACAGTGCCACTTCCAGTTTTTGAGTTGTTCATTGTTGTTAAGTTGGAGATAAGAGTCTAATGGGGACTTTTCTGCCTAGGCTAGCTTTGAGCTGCAATTCTCAGAGCTCAGCCTCCTGAGGTTGGGAATGTGGCTTAGTGGTAGAGTGCTTGTCTAGCATGCATGAACCCCTGGGTTCAATTCCTTGGTACCACATAAAAAGAAAAGGCCAAAGTGGTGCTGTGGCTCAAGTGGTAGAGCACTAGCCTTGAGCACAGAGAGGTTCAGGGACAGAGCCCAGGCCCTCAGTTCAAGCCCCAGGATGGCAAAAAAAAAAAAAAAAAAAACAAACTCAGCCTCCTGAGTAGCTAGGATTACAGGTGTGAGCCATGGGCACCTGGGCAAACCTCCTAATATTTATTTATTTTTAAGGTTCTAAAGAGGAGGATCCAAGATAGGACCGAAAATCCCTGTGGGTGAGGGTGACCAGGCCTGGTGCCCTGGCCCCTGTAGATCTGTCTTTTCATTGACTTCCTTAATGACTGCCCCATCTGTCTCAGCCTTTCTTTGTTGAAGGCTGTGACAGCATAAATAGACAGTGACTGGATAAGGCTAGAAGCTCAGACTGGGCCCAGTGGCCTCTTAGCCCTTTTCATCCTTAAGAGATTCCTAGAGTTGGAGGCAGCTGAAGATCTCAAGCCTCATGCCCACCCTTTCTCCTAGTCACCTGCCTTGTATGGTTGTTACCCTGGGGTTCTGGACAGGGTGCCTTATCTGAGCACTAGGTGTGCATGCTTCTCTGCTTGGTTGACTGGGGTTCCTTCTCTGCCAGGCTCCTAGCAACTATCTGCCAGGGCAGTGCAGTGAGGAGGTAGGGAGGGCCTAGACTGCCTTTCATTCCTGCTGGCCTCCCCTCTGGGATCAACCCATTGACTGGTGCCTTCTGCTCTCCTTAGGGTCTCCTAGAGGGGGCTTCTCTGTTAGATGGCTCTCCTAGATGTCCAGGTTCCCTGGCTTACTCTGCTATAGCTCTGTGCCCAGCTCTCAAGGCCCCCACTCCCTCAGGCAGACAGTCTCAGCCCAGTATGTCCATTTGTTTGTGGAAATATATTTATTTCAGCATTCTTCTGTTCAGGGCCAGGAAAAATTTTCTCTTGATTTTCAGCCTCCATCTTTTCCTGTTCAGGATCTCAAACCCTCCTTCATACCCTGTGTTGCTTTGTTACCTACCTAAGCTCTAGGCATGAACTAGAACCAAATGGTTGTCTTAGTTAGCAGTTCAGGATCTGGAGGAGCTCCAGGGGTGACCCACAGTACTGGAGCTAGGAGTGACATAGCTAGTCTCTGGCCACCATCAAGTACGATGCTCTGTGTGCTCTGGTAACTGCTGTAGGATCAATTCTGTGTTCTTAGGAGGAGGGCTTGGATGCACAAAGCAGGTGGTGATCATGGGACACCGCATACCTGTGAAAGCAGGTGACTCTCATCTCTGTGGCCTTCCAGAACACCAAGCATGGTTATCACAGATCCTCTAAACAAGGAAAGAGCAAGAGCAAGCTATTTACAGGGAGGAGAAGGAGCCCCAGTTCAGAGGGAAACCAAGATCCTAAAGGCCATGGGCTGCTTGCAGTGTCATCCATGTAGGGCAGTCCAGGAGGCCATGGGAAAGCAGATTGGCAGCCCTGCCTGAAGGCTGCTGCCTCGCCACATCCCAGTCCTGAGATCATCGGGCCTCAGAGGCTGTCTCCTTTCTGTACATAGCTCACTGAGACCCAAGCTGTGTCCCTTTCATTACTCAGTCCTGGGCTAGAAGTAGAAAGTCAGGTTTCTAGCTGGGCACAGGTTTCTAGATGGCTCATCTATAATTCTAGCTACTCAGGAGGCTGAGGTCTGAAGATTGAGGTTTGAAGCCATCCCAGGCAGGAATGTCTGTGATACTCTTCTTTCTAATTAACTACCAAAAAAGCTGGAAATAGAGGTGTGGCTCAAATGGTAATGCATTAGCCTTGAGCAAAACTGCTCAAGTACAGTGCCCAGGCCCTGAGTTTAAGCCCTAGGACTGGCAAAAAAAAAAAAAAGTCATTTTTCTCATGGTGGACATACTGGGAAGTGACCTTGGCACTAAAGGATATGGAGCAGCATCCCTGGCCTTCACCCACTCCATGCTCAGAACATGAAGCATATGACAGTTGTAATGGCCCCCTACATGCTCAGTGTCTCCTGGGGAAACCCCTGGATAATGGAACCCATAGACCCCAGGAGATACTATTTCTGACCAGTGCCCTGCTAAGGACTTAGGACACTACCCACATTGAAAGCCACCTACTTGGTGTGGTGAAGGTGGAGTCCCCTGCTTCCTGATTCTGTGTGTTGGGGCCTAGCCTGACAGGCTGAGCCTCACAGCCCTCTCCTAACCTGCAGGGGCAGAATCCTTTCGAGCTGGCCTTCTCCCTAGACCCGGCCCACCACCGTGAAGCAGACTTCAGCCCACAGTGCGAGGCCCGCCCTGGTGAGGGCCTGAGGGGGAGGGGTGTGGTGCCCAGGGTTCTCTTGGCAGAGGGGGAGGGTGGGGTTCCATGGGAAGCTAGGCTAGGCTGGGCAGCAAATCCTGAGCCTGTGCACTCCCCCGCCCTAGACATGCCTGCAAGCCAGCCTATTGACATCCCAGATGCAAAGAAGAGAGGCCGGAAGAAAAAGCGATGTCGTGCCACAGACAGCTTCTCAGGCAGGTTCGAAGGTGAGCGGGGTTGCAGGTTGGGGTATCAGGGAGATAGTACTGGGCTCTGCCTCCTCACCCCTTCCCTATGCCTCTTAGATGTCTACCAGCTGCAGGAGGATGTGCTTGGGGAAGGAGCCCATGCCCGCGTGCAGACCTGTGTCAACCTCATCACCAACCATGAGTATGCTGTCAAGGTGAGCTATCCTGTCACCAGGGTGGCATTCAAGCTCCTACACAACAGCTGGGGAAAACCAGTGTCTAAAAATGGCCCCAGGCCTGGTGACTCAGGCTACCCCATGAATGCAGGTCAACTCTGCCAAGCCCCAAGTCTCAGCGGGAAGTGACCATTTTCTCTGGCCCCTGTCTATCCCATACACAGTGGCCAAGGACCTGTGGCTGTTGACAGCTGATTAGAAGCTGAGCTGGCCTGCTGAGTCTTTCAGGTTGTGTCCTAGCTCTGAGTTTCTTTAGTCTGAGGAAGACAGTTACTTAGAGGATTGCTTTCAGGGACCAAAAGGCAATGTCATCAAGTAATGTGGGATAAACTTATAATCACAGTACTTGGAAAACAGAGCTAGACCCTGTCTCAGAAAATAAAACCAAAAACAGTGGTGTCAAGTTGGGCTCTGGTGGTTCACACCTGTAATCATAGGTACTGAGGAGGCTAGATCTGCAGACTACAGTTCAAAGTCCATGAGACTCTTATCTCTGATTAACCACCAAAAAGCCTGGAGTAGAGCTGTAGCTCAAGTGGTGGAGCACTAGCAATGTCCAGACCCTGAGTTTAAATGCCAGAACCAGCAAAAAATAAATAAATAAAGCAGTGGTGTCATATGTAAGCCTCAGAGGGAGCTGCAAATTTGAGAAAACCAGTACAGGCCCGTGAAGGCATTTTTTTTTTTTTTCCTCCCCCTAGTCCTGGGGCTTGGACTCTGGGCCTGGGCACTGTGCCTGAGCTTCTTTTGCTCAAGGCTAGCACTCTACCACTTGAGCCACAGCACCACTTCTGGCTTTTTGTGGGTGTGTGTGGTGCTGAGGAATCAAGCCCAGGGCTTCATGCATGCGAGGCAAGCACTCTACCACTGAGCCGCCTTTCCAGCCCCATGAAGCCATCTTATGTCTTCCTGTCCATCCGTGTATGTACCCTCTGTGCCCCGGGTATGTGTAACAATCTGGAACTGGAGCCCTGAAAAGGACCTAGTGTGCCACAGCTCTGTGTTCTGAGAAGCCATCCAGGTTTCCCTCGTGACCCTACATCCAGTTCCAAGCTGGATGGTGCTGCTAGAGGGCTGGCGGCCCAGGCAGGAGGGCAAGTGCCCCCTGGTGAGTGGGGTTGGCTAGAGGCCTGTAGGCCCTGGTTAATTAACTGTCCAGGCCTGGCTCATGGCTCCTGCATCTTAGTGTGACAGGAGGAAGAGAAGTAGAGTCTCGTCATGTGGACAGTAAGAGAGGCTAGGTCTGAATGGCTGGTCCCTGTCCTCAAGGAGCCTTGTCATCCTAGTCCCCTAGGCCAAGGTACCAGAAAATTAGACATGCAGGACAGGCTTCCATCTTAGCACTTTGCTCCTAGTGACCCTTTAGGGGAACCTTGCTTCCTGAGACCTGGTTTGACAGAAACTGAGTCACCCTGTGTGGCTTCATTGTCACCTTGTTGTAACTTGGCATAGTCAGTGCTAGAATCTGGAGATCTGTCTCAGTGACATTGAAGTGTGATGCTAGTGGGAAGACTTCGCCTGAATTTGGGAGACTAGGAGGTAGAGGAGAGCCAGACTGGGTGAGCAGGACAGCCACAGTACTATGGGGTTGAGCAATGCTGTCAGGGGTCTCTGCCCCTGTCTGTGGTGCCCACTCTCCTCAGGATCATGATGGGGTTCACTTTTATCCAGAACTATTCAGAGCACTCCAGCTTCGGCTTTCAGCAGAGGCTTCATGAGAGGGTATCTTACAAGTTCCCTTTCTGGGACAGCTGTGTTTGTCACAGGCCACACAGGACAGTATCTAGGCAGTGGGGACCCCACACACAGACTAAAATAGTAGTCACTGGCCTCTGACCCACCAGGTGAGGGCTAGCATGAACATCCCTGGAAAGAACATCCTAGCCTGGGCCTGGGGAGAGCTTAGAGGCCTGTCTCCTACTCTGAAAGCAAAGCTGGCTAGGGCCCTGTGGGGAGGGAGCACAAACTCTCCAGGATGGGGGAGGGTGGTGAGCTGCCTGACTGCCTTATCATCTCTTGCTTTCCCTTCCCTGGCTGGTGCTGCTGCCAGGGAGGCATAGTGCCCCCTGCTTGTACTGACACCTCAGTTCTGACTTCAGCAAATTCCAGGCCCCAGTAGGAAAGCCCTGCTTTTTCTCAAGTTGAAAAGTAGAAGCTTAGACAGTGGAATTGCAGGCGGAGTCCAGGGAAAATCAGGGGCTGGGGGCAGTATCTTCTGCCTCTTTTGGGTTGTGAGTGGGTGCTGCTGACCTGGGTGATGTCCTGTCTCCCGCCTATTCCAGATCATTGAGAAGCAGCCAGGCCACATCCGCAGCAGGGTTTTCCGGGAGGTGGAGATGCTGTACCAGTGCCAGGGACACAGGTAAGGTGACCTACTCCGGCCACAGTGCTGGGCCCCAAGCCATCTTTCCATGGATGAATGGGCTTGAGTGCCACATTACCCAGCAGAATGCTGGCCAGGCTCAGCTGGGTGTTGTGGGTGGGCTCAGTAGTGGGCAACTGGCAGTTCCAGATGGGCTGGGTGAAAGTGGGCCCACGGTCCCAAGTCCTTGCCTTCCTATGGGCAGATGGCGTAGGTAGGGTTGCACTTCCTAGGCTGGACAGCAAGCAGGTACACATAGAAGCCTCAGAAAACCTCAGCTCTTCTCCTGCCCCTACCCCATCTATAGGAATGTTCTAGAGCTGATTGAATTCTTCGAGGAGGAGGACCGTTTCTACCTGGTGTTTGAGAAGATGCGTGGTGGTGGGTAGGGGCTCCTGGTGAGGGGTAGGGGTGAGGGAGACATTTTCAGCTGGGTCCTCGTGGCATTGCAGCTCAGAGCCACCTGAAAGGACCTTTCAGACTCAGGAGGGGGCTTGTGGGATGGACCCAAGGAACCTAGTAGATTTCCTGCCAGGGTAGACATGAGCACTGGATGAGCCCTGGACCCTGGGGGTGACTAGTGTTCTCACCACATTTTGCTCTAGGCTCCATCCTGAGCCACATCCACAAGCGGCGGCACTTTAATGAGCTGGAGGCCAGCGTCGTGGTGCAGGATGTGGCCAGTGCCTTGGACTTCCTACACAACAAAGGTAGGTTGTGGGGCCAGCCAGGATGTGCAGCCCACCTAACCAGGATTCTTAGAGATGCTTCCATGCCTAACCCCCTGCTCTGTTTCCCCCAGGCATCGCCCATAGGGACCTAAAGCCGGAGAACATCCTCTGTGAACACCCCAACCAGGTGAGGCAGATAACCTGCCCCAGGCCCAGGTGGGTCACCCTTAGGAGTGTCCCTCCATAGGCCCCAGGGCTGGACCCCTTCCACAGCCCCCTGCTGACCCTCCAGGTGTCCCCAGTGAAGATCTGTGACTTCGACTTGGGCAGCGGCATCAAACTCAATGGAGACTGCTCCCCCATCTCTACCCCAGAGCTGCTCACACCGGTGAGGGCTGCAGGGCCAGAGACAGCCACAGAGGGGTGCAGGGAGAGGCTGGATAGACCCAGGCCATGCTTACGTGACTTTGAGATACTTGTGCAGGCTCTGCAACTCTGACCTGGGGAACTTCTGCTTCCACTTAGCAATAGCTTTGGATTGGCTGGGTGGAGAGTGGGGAATGGGTTCTTAGCACCTCCTGATTGGACAGGGCTGGAACCCAGCAGCAAATACTGATTGCAGTGGTGAAGATGAGAGTGGAGGCAGGTTCAAACTGGGAGGGGGATGGAAGAGTCAGATTCCTTGCATCCACTTAACAGGTCAAGCTGAATATGAGGGTGGAGCTAGTGGGTTTTTGGCTTGAGTTCCATGTACCTGATGAGTGGGTGGGAACAGGTCTGGTAGCTGCTCTTAATGGCCCAATTAGCAGAGATGGGGAGGCTACTGTTGCTGAGCTGCAGTGGGCCTAGGCTGACCTCACCTTCCTGGCCCGCAGTGTGGCTCCGCGGAGTACATGGCCCCAGAGGTGGTGGAGGCCTTCAGCGAGGAAGCCAGCATCTACGACAAACGCTGTGACCTGTGGAGCCTGGGGGTCATTCTCTACATCCTGCTCAGTGGCTATCCACCCTTTGTGGGCCACTGTGGCAGTGACTGTGGCTGGGACCGAGGGGAGGCCTGCCCTGCCTGCCAGGTGCATTCCCACCCTGGTGCTAACCTAACCTCCCCAGAGGGGCCAGCGTCCACAGGGCAGTGCGAGACCTCCTTCCAGAGTTCCGAAGACCAGGGGAGAAAGCACACAGGTCAAGGGACACACAGGTCAAGAGGTGGTTCAGGATGACTGTGCACAGTGTGAACTTAGCATTCATGACTTGCATCTCCCTGGAGCCAGGCTGCTGAGCTCCCTTTTTAAACATCGAGCCACGTGGGCAATGTTTTCAAAGTCAACTCTGGATACCTCCCCACACATACCTCTTTTATTCTTTTTTTGAGGGGGGTGGAGTGGGGGGGGTGTGGCACTGGTCCTAGGCTTGACCTCAGGCCTGAGCATTGTCTTGAATCTTTTTGCTCTAAGGGTAAAGCTCTACCACTTGAGCCACATCTCTACTTTTGCTTTTTGGTGGTTAATTGGAGATAAGACTTTCCTGCCTGGACCAGCCTTGAATTTTGGTCCTTAGATATCAATCTCCAGAGTAGCTAGGGTTACAGGCATGAGCCACCAATACCCAGCTCCTGCCTTTTTGTGTCCTCCAGAGCCACCAGACCCGTCAGCTGGTCCCAGGACCCTGGCCCCTCCAGCTTCCCCTTACCCTCAACACCCTATATTCTGGATGGCAGGTTTCACATCCCTTTCTACATGTGAGCCAGGTCATAAGTTAGGGTTACCTAGTCAGGTCTGGGAGTCCCTGGCAGTCAGTGGTATCCAGGTCTTCCCTCGGGGCGGGGGCGGCGGGGAAGGTTGCAGGGGATGTGGCCATGGCCTTGCAAGCTCACTGACTCCTCTACATCCTACCCCTAGAACATGCTGTTTGAGAGCATCCAGGAGGGCAAGTATGAATTCCCCGACAAGGACTGGGCTCACATCTCCTTTGCTGCCAAAGACCTCATCTCCAAGCTGCTCGTCCGTGATGCCAAGCAGAGGCTGAGTGCTGCCCAAGTCCTGCAGCACCCCTGGGTGCAGGGGGTAAGCCCCAGCATGCCTATAAGAAGAGGGGGATGCCCCTCTCCCTCCAACTATTGCAAGTCTGTGGGCACTCCAGCAGATGAAGTGTGCACCCCAGATAACAGCAAGCCTAGGTGTAGATCTCCAGGAGCCACTGCAGGCTTACAGTGCCAGGGCATAGCCCTGAGCTATGAGGGCAGCTAAAATCCCCACTGTCTACCTAAGAGTCAGTTGGGGCTGCCCAGAGAATCCCCACCACACTGTCCCTGTGCCTGAGTTGCGAGGTCAGCAGGTAGCACGTGCTAACCAGCCTCAGGGGCAGGGCCAGCGTACCCTCTGGCCTGCCAGTCTGTCTGGGAAAGGCTGGACATTTCCCCAGGCTTATGAAGGCTCAGCTGCCATCCCAAGGGAGTGAGATTACAGGAAAAGCAGCAAGCTTTCCTAATAGCAGAAAACTGAGGTCTCTTGGAACCGCAGACAAGGGCAGCTTCAGACCCCTTCTGGAAACATCCAAGTCTTGTTTGAGAATAGAGGCTGGGAGGACTTGGACTGGAAGCTGTCCACCGGATCATCCCCCCCATTAGCGGGGCTGCAGTCCTGCTCCCATCCTCAGCGTGGCTTAGGTTCCCTGGCCCTATCTGCACCCAGCCTCTCAGGTGGGAAGATTGGCTGGGGAAATTTACGGCTTCCCTTGGCCACATTCCTAATTAGCTCTTTGGGGTGTACTGGCATGCTCTCTAATCCTGGCTATGCTGTCTCATTGCAGTGTGCCCCCGAGAACACCTTGCCCACACCCATGGTCCTACAGAGGTAAGGCTCACCTCCAGAGATGGGGTGGGGGCTACATGATTAGACTTCTCTTTCTGTGGTGCTGGGGGTGGAGCCCAGGGTCTCCCACGTGCTAAGCATGTGCTCCACCACTAAACTGGCCCTTCAGCCTTTTTGAGATGTACAAGTATTCATGGGGAAAAGGACACCAAGCACTTGTATGGCCTGGTACCATGTGACTCCACAGAGCTCCCAATTGGGAGCCCTGGTGTCCAGAGGGGCCCAAGTGATAGGGAGGGATCTTGCCGCCCTTGTCCAGGGCACTATGCAGATCCTAATTCCTTGGGCAGCAAGGAAGGATGTATTGTGGGTGACCATCTTCCACCTTATCCTATTCCAGAAACAGCTGTGCCAAAGACCTCACATCCTTTGCAGCCGAGGCCATTGCCATGAACCGGCAGCTGGCCCAACGTGAGGAAGATGCGGCCGAGGAGGCCCAGGGCCAAGGCCAGCCCGTTGTCATCCGTGCTACCTCACGCTGCCTGCAGCTGTCCCCACCCTCTGAGTCCAAGCTGGCCCAGCGGCGGCAGAGAGCCAGCCTGTCTGCTGCCCCTGTAGTCCTCGTGGGGGACCATGTGTGAACCCCCTTCTCTGGCCCCCTGTACATAGGTCGCCCCCTTCCCCCGTCAGATCTAAGATTTTTAAGCTATGGTGGCGGGGACCAGGGGCTGCCCTCCCCTCTGGTTGCATTTCCAAGCACTGAAGTCAGCCAGGGGGCGTGGGTTGGGTTTTTTGTTGTTGTTGTTGTTGTTGTTTTTTAACAGATTTTTGCTGTTGGGTTTTTTCCTTTTCCCCCATCCCTCTTCCAACTTGTTTTTGTTTCTGTGCTCCCTTCCCCCCCCCCTTTAATGGTGTTTAAAGCAAAGTAAGTGCCCAGAAGGAGAGCAGAGGGCGCGTGGAGGGCGTGTGGCTGGGGGAGTGCCTGCTACGCCCCAAGATGCTCGCCTGTACTGTGAAGGTCTCAGTGCTCCACCCGGCCATTGGCACCCTGCCTGATGTCTGTCTGCCCCTTCCACCTCCAGCCAACTTGCTGTCTTCCAGTGCATGGGGGGGGGGCTACAGGGTTACCATTCCCATGCCCCCCTCCCCAGCCCTCAGTATTTTCAGGGACAGTCTCTCCTCCTAGTGACAGAACAGTAGCCTCTTTATCCCTCACACCCAGAGCACCCTGGTTGGGCAGATCAGGAGCTTCTTGTTCTTGTCTCTGGAAGGAGGGCCTGGCAGGCAGGGTGGATGATAGCCCACCCGCTGGACTCCCCAGGCCCTGGGCCCAGGTTGGCCCATTTTCCCTTTCCTGGTGAGAAGATGACAATCGAGGCTTTCCCTCAGGTCTGTCTGAGCAGTGAGCAGGCCCCTGCCTGCTGGACATGGCCTGGCTGGACCTTAAATTGCAACTGACATAGGACAAGCTGCCCCCTCCCCACTCCCCCAGGAACTGAAGTTGGAGCAAGAGGGTTGCCATAGTAGCCTTGTCCCCAGCTGGTTCCAAGATGGGTGAGCCACTGGACAGGTGCCCATCCGCCAATGTGGGGTCCCAGAGTATCTTCCCACCCCAGGGCACCCACGTGCCCCTTCTCAGGGCTCAGCTTGACCATGGTCGTATCCTGAGTCTGGCATTTGGAAGTTCTGTTTGGTTCCCTTATCCTCAGAGCTGGGGCCAGACCCATAGGTTTCTAGACTCTTTTCCTGCTCCCAACCCTAAGGGCAGCGATTTAGGTGTTCCCACCTTCAGGAAAAGGGCTGCCACTGCCTCAGCTACCCTTGGGGCACCCAGGAAAGGCTGGAATGGTCTACTGGGGGACCTTGCTAACTCTCCCCCAGTTCCATCAAGGCCTGGTCAGCCTGACACTGGGCTTGGGGATACCACCGCCTGGGCCTGGCCGTGAACTACTATGCAATACAATTCCCATTTTCTACATGTATACGGCCCTGCTGGTCAGGGGGACCGCCCACCCCAGCCCCAGGTCTGCTCAGGTGTCTCCAGGGCAGGGATTGTAACCCCCCCCCCCCACTGGCCTCAAACTGGTCAGGATTTGCCTCATTTAATGTTTTGGGAGTTTTTTAAAAAATATTTTATTTGCTCCCCTCCTTGATCTCAAAAGAATACTTGAATGTTGGAGGGGCCTTTGTGGGGGGGGGGAGGGAAGGGGGGTTCAGAAAAGGTCTGTCCACCCATCTCAGCCCTCTCCTTGGTCTTGTAGGATTATTGCAGTCTGGTGGCCTGGTGATCCTTTCCTCTTGGGCCCCCTACCCTCCTGTGTGTACTGGCCTTTCCAAAGACCCCTGGTGGGGCTGGAGCTGCTTGGCCACACCCCATCTCTTCCCCCATCAGTGATTCTGAGTTTTGCACCTGGGGATTTCTCTGCCTTTTTGTATAAAAGAACAAATGGACCTTTCCTGCTGCAGGTGCCCATGGCCACCTTACTCCAAAAGGCTCGACAAGGAATAGCTTTGGGTTTTCTTTTTTTCCCCAGAGGTGGGAGGTTGTCATTTTTCTTTACTCCTCTATCGCCTCACCATTTTGACCTGGGGACTGCTTAGAGCCTTTACTGTGAATGACTGGGCGGTGCATGGGAAGGGACCGGCCAATAACAAAGTGGTTCAGAAGCCACACAAACAGATTAAAAAAAACAAAAACTTTTTTTTTTCCTAAGTGGGGCGAAGACATCCAAGCACTTTATCTCCATTGTATCAGGTGAACTGATAGAGCTCGAAAGTTCCTTTACACCAACGCCAGAATTTTGTATTCTGTTTTGTAAGGATTTAATAAAACTCATAAAAACCTGCCCTGTGTGTGCTCTTGGTTTTCTGTGATTGTAATGGTCTGGACAAGCCTGCAAACAAGTGAGCTGCCAAGGCAGGATCCAGAGGGCCTGTGGGGCAGGCGGAGGCGGGGAGGGGGGAGGGGATTCTTGCCAAGTAGGAATTCTGGGCAGGGTATGTCATGTCAGAGAAGGCAGGACTGGGAAGGGAGAAGCAGGGTCTGAGAGAAGGCATCTGGTTCCAGCCAAGCACCCCCAAAGGGGAGGACCTCACATACTGGAGGAAGAAACAACCCTAAAAGCAGTAAGTGGGAATAATCTCAGTATTTGAGACATGCAGACCACACTGGGGGTATGGATCCTAAGGAAAGTGGGCCTCCCAGGTTTTTTCCTTCAGGGCCTGGGCACCGACTCTGAGCTGCTTTTGCTCAAGATGAGTAGTAGTATACCACTTGAGCCACAGTGTCACTTTTGGCTTTTCCTGTTTATGTGGTACTGAGGAATGGAATCCAGGGCTTCCTGCATGCTAGGCAAGCACTCTACTACTGAGCCACATTCCCAGCCCCCTGGCAGCTTTTTCTTAGCTAACAGTTTGAGATAAGCCAGGTACTGGTGGCTTTTGCTTGTGACCCTAGCTACTTGAGCGGCTGAGATCTCAGGATCTCAGTTCGAAGATAGCTCAGACAGAAAAGTCCTTAAGACTCTCCAATTAAACACTAAAAAGCTAGAAGTGGATCTGTGGTTCAAGTGGTAGAGCACCAACCTTGAGCAAAGCAAGCTCAGGGACAGTGCCTAGGCCCTGAGTTCAAGTCTCAGGACCTACACACACACACCACACACTCCAAAAAAATTAGCCCATGATGTGATTAGACATGATTTTAATGTGACAAGATCCAGCATGCACATACCTCTGCCCAGCTGGGGCATTCAGGAGAGTAAGACCAAGCACTAGCACCAGCAACCAGGCAGGTGGTGACTACATTTGCCCAGGTGGAAACTGGCTAGACCTGGTTACTGGACCTTTGAAGGCTCCAGGTTTCTCCAGCTCCAGGGTTTTCTTACCACTCTGGAGGAAGACAGACGTGGAAGGGGCGGGCACAGCAGGCTGAGAGAAAACCACAAAAATAAAATCTAGAGCAACGGCTTAGAGGACAAGCTGTTCCTGGCAGGAGGCTGGAGCCAGGGAGCGGTCGCCGCATGACCTGGAAGGGCAGGGCAGGGCGGGATGCCACCTGGGCAGGCCGACTTGGCATGTGGAAGCCATGCCACACACACACACACACACACACACACACACACACAACTACTACCACCACCACCACCAGGCACAGGAACAGGGAAGCCAATCAGAAGCCCTGAGGATGGAGGGAGGGTGGAGGTGGACAGAGCTGGTTCTCAGACATCCACCCATTTACTCTTTCACTCAGTGTCTGTGTAGCAAACTCATGTAAAATCAGAACTGGAGCAGAGAGTTGGTTATTCATGCCTACCTGCTCAGGAGGCTGAGATCTAAGGATCATAGTTCAAAGCCAGCTCAGGCAGAAAAGTCCATGAGACTCTTATCTCCAATTAAACACCAAAAAGTTGGAAGTAGGGCAGGAACAGATGGGAAACACTGGGAGAGGGCAAAGGAAGGAGTGACAATTGTCCAAAGAGAAACATAATCATTATCTACCTTATGAAATGGAAACCCCTCAGTACATCATCTTTATAAATAACATTGGAAAATAAATAGTTGGAAGTGAAGGTGTGGGCTCAGGTAGTAGAATGCCAGCCTTGAGCCCAAAGCTCAAGAACAATTCCAGGCCCCAATACCAACACCCCTCCCCCCCCCACACCCTGCAACATCTGTTGTTGACAGAGTCCCTTAGGCAGGAATTGGAGCTCCAGGGGTCACCTCAGGAAGTGACCCATGAAAAGGGACATCTGAGCTAGCCTAGAATCATAGCTATTCAAGAGACTGAGATCTGAGAATCCCATTTTGAAGCGAAGCCAGTCTGGGCAGGAAAGGCCATGAAATTCATGTCCAATTAACCACTAAAAAGGCAGAAGTGGAATTGTGGCTCAAGTGAGAGTGCTAGCCTGGAGCTAAAAAGCTCAAAGAGAGTGCCCAGGCTTTCAGTTAAAGCCCAGGACCTTGGGGGGGAAAAAGAGGGGGGGGTAACTGAGTCAGGGAGAGGGGGGTGAGGGAGCTAAGCTTTTGGCCTATGCCAAAAGCAAGGCTTGGGAAGGAAACATGGAGTCCTGGTGACAAAGAATTCCAGAGCTGTGGGCCAGGGGTATTCAGCTCCATACTGTGGGCAATGGGAGCCACAGGAGGTGTCAGAATAAGGGTAAGTCATGGTTATTCTTTTTTCTTTCTTTTTGTCGGTCATGGGGCTTGAAATCTGGGCCTGGACGCTGTCCCAGAGCTCTTCAACTCAAAGCGAGTACTCTACCACTTGAGCCATGGCGCCACTTCCGGTTTTCTGGTTTACTGGAGATAAGAGTCTAATGGACTTTCCTGCCCAGGCTGGCTTTGAACTGGGATCCTCAGGTCTCACCCTCTTGCATAGCTAGGATTACAAGCTTGAGTCCCAGGTGCCTGGCTGGTTTTAAATCATTAGAAGAAGGGGGTATGGTAGTCTTAGCCTGGGGTCATGTGAGTGAGGGGGACAGAAGAGATGGGTTTTAAAAGACACGCCTAGGAGACAAGACCCAAAGGGTGTGAGAGTGAGAGAGGAACAGATGGCAGGGAAGATTCAACTGAGAGAAGAGAGACCTCAGGGCCCCAATCAGGATGGAGATCTGCCCCCAGCCAGAGGAAAGCAAGTAGGCCAGTCTCTGATCCTTCTGCATCCTGCTCAGTCCCTTTAGGAGGAACAAAGGGAGTGAGAGGGGATTCATTCTTCCTCCAGAAGATATGCCAGGAATGTTCACTAAGCAACCCAAATGTTCACTTAGCAGCGGATTTGTTAGCCACATCTACAGTGTGCACTTGTGTGCCCGCACACGCGCATGCGCGCACACGTATACACACACACACACACACACACACACACACAATGTTAAAAGGTAAACTGAAAGCTAGGTACTGGTCTCTCATACCTGTAATCCTAGCTACTCAGAAGGCTAAAATCTGAGGAATTGTGGTTCAAAACCAGCCTGGGCAAGAAAGTCTGTAAGATTTATCTGCAATTAACCACTAGAAACTAGAAGTGAAGCTGTGGCTTACAGTGGTAGAATGATAGTATTAAGCAAAAAGGCTTAAGGACAGTGCCCAGGCCCTGAGTTCAAGCCTCATGATAGACAAAAATAAATAAAAATAAATAAAGGCACTGATAGCTCATGTCTGTACTAGTTACTCAGGAGGCTGAGATCTGAGGATCCTGGTTCAAAACCAGCCTGGGCAGAGAAGGCTGTGAGACTCTTACCTCCAAATAACCACCAATAAACTAGGAGTAGAGCTGTAACTCCAGTAGTAGAGTGCCAGCCTTAAGCAAAAGAGCTCAGGGACAGCACCCAGGCAGTGAGTTCAAACCCCAGGACTAGCACCAAAGTAAAATAAAAGGTGAATTGAGTCATGCAAATTTCACAATTTACTTTAAAATGCCCAGAGGATAAAGCACCTGTGATTCAGGCCTATAATTCTAGTTATTCAGGAGGCTAAGAGCTGAAGATCAAGATTTGAAGACAGCCTGGGAAGGAAAATCCGTAGGACTGTTATCATAATCAACAAGCAAAAAGCTGGAAGTGGAGCAGTGGCTCACATGACAGAACACTAGCCTTGGGCAAAAAAAGCTAAAGGACAGTGCCAAGACCCCGAGTTCAAGCCCCAGTCCCAGCACACACAAAAGAAAAGAAATAAAATAAAACAGCCACAGTACCCGCCCAGTCTACATCAGGTCTGATACATAGTAAATGCTCATCTATATATATATCTATATATATATATACGTATATATGCATAGCAAATGCTTATATTAATAGGAGAAAGCAAGAGAAAATATCACCTGTCAAAAAGTAAAAAAAAAAAATTTGTGCCAGTTCTGAGGCTTGAACTCAAGGCCAGGGCACTATCCTTGAGTTTTTCTTTTCTTTTCTTTTTTTGGGTCCGGTCGTGGGGCCTGAACTCTGGGCCTGGGTGCTGTCCCTCAGCTCTTCAGCTCAAGGCTAGCGCTCTACCACTTGAGCCACAGCGCCACTTCCGGCTTTTTTCTTTTTGCTTATGTGGTGCTGGGAATCGAACCCAGGGCCTCAAGGCATGTAAGGCAAGCGCTCTACCACTGAGCCACCTTCCCAGCCCCTCCTTGAGCTTTTCTACTTAAAGCTAGTGCCCTATCACTTGAGCCACAGCTCCATTTATGGCTTTTTGGTGGCTCATTGAGATAAGAATCCCAGCCCGGCACTGGTGGCTCACGCCTGTAATCCTAGCTACTCAGGAGGCTGAGATCTGAGGATCGCGGTTCAAAGCCAACCCAGGCAGGAGAGACCGTGAGACCCCTATCTCCAATAAACCATCAGAAAACCGGAAGTGGCGCTGTAGCTCAAGTGGTAGAGTGCTATCCTTGAGCTGAAGAGCTGAGGGACAGCGCCCAGGCCCAGAGTTCAAGCCCCACGACCGACAAAAAAAATAAAATAAAATAAAGAATCTCAAGGAGTTTCCTGCCTAGGATTTCTTTGAATGGCATTCCTCAGATCTCAGCCTCCAGAGATTACAGGTATGAGTCCTGTTTTTGTGTTAGTCCTAGGGCTTAACCTCAGGGCCTTGTGCATTGTCCCTGAACTTCTTTTGTTCAAAGCAAGCATTCTATCACTTGAACCATAGTTCCATTAGGGCTTTTTTTTGGGGGGGTGGGGGTGGGGAGGGGTGGTATTCTAGTGCAGGTAAGAGTCTCATAAACTTTCCTACCTGGGCTAGATACAAACCAAGAGCCTCAGATCTTAGTTCCCTGAGTACTTAGGGTTACAGGCATGAGCCACAGGTGCCTAGCTCTCCTTTTTATTTATTTATTTGTCGGTCGTGGGGCTTGAACTCTGGGCTTG